ATGTCAAAGAAATTCTATGTAGTGATGACTTTGCTTTTGCTGTTCACCTGGGTGGAAGCAACTGCAGATCATCACCCAGTATTTTTCTTGAAACCTGAAAATACAGCCTTGTGAAGCAATGGCATTAAGAAAAGTAAGACCTTTTAGCTCATAAATTCTGTGGAACAAGGAGGGAACAACGTCTTCTATAATCTTTCACTTCAAGTGTCAAAATCTGGTCTTTCCTTTCTCCTCCTTTTCATTGCATTGTAATAGAAGGATATTCAGTGGAAACCTCATGCTCCCAGTAAAACTGACAAAAAATAGCAAAATGTATCTGGATAGACTTTCCAAAATAATAGACAGATTGGCAGGCAGACAAAATAAAAATTCAATTAAAATAAACAAAATACTTTTCTCAATGCACCCTGAATCTGTGATACCTGCTGGTATTCATATCATTATTTCTACAGCGGCAAAGATTTGGGATGAGTTTCGGACTAATGACTTGGGAAGCCAATTCAGCTGCAACTTTGGATCAGCCAATTTAAGGCATAGAGCTTTAACAGTCACTAATTTAGAGGATGTTCCAACCCTAACCACCTTCCTATCAAAATGTCCCTTGGTATACCAGATTAGAGATAATGAACTTTACCTCATTCCCCCAGGCGGCACAAAATGAACAAATCAAAAGGGATTTACTTAAACAAAAAGTAATCATCTAATAATTAATTTCTGAATGTAGGCAACAACAGAAATGAGAAAAACCATTTAGGGCAAATGAGTCTTAAATGTAGTGCACCTGAGTTAACACTGTTTAGTGCACTTGACTGTTCTTCTGACCCAGTGAAAAAAAAGAATACTTTTAAAAACACAGGCAATCCAAAATCAATCTTTAATTTGAGACCATATAAATAAAGTTTGTAATAAAAATGTTTCTTCTGTGGGTATTGCTACCTAACGAAGAATATAGTATTAAACACTTTGCCAGCTGAATCTTTGTGTGAATATCAACAGTTATCAATATTTTCTCAGGTACAACTGTGTTTGTTCTCCTTGACTAGTTTCCTTTAGCTTCTAAAATATATCTACCTCTCTTTTTAGCTCCACTTACAGTTTATTCCTGGATGAATCCACTTTTGTGAAACTACTACCTTCCATAGCTAATCACGGCAAATCAAAATTATTAACAGTCAGACTCTGAAGAAACATAATTATAACATAATTGACAGTGACATCGATTGCCACTTTTCTTCAGATTGGCATTTTTCTTCATAAATGTTTCCAAGTATTGAGGAACACTGTACTTGTTCAACACTCAATGGCATTCAATGCCTCTGAGCCTTCTGTTTGTTCCAGAGTTGTTGTTTTGGCCCACATAAGCCATTGAGTCATTGCCGTCTACCATCTCCAGTAACCTAAACATTCTCTCCTACAAAATGGGCATTTCATGGTCACTTTATTCCCTTCATCAACACTCACACACTCCACATGAGTACAAATAAATTTTGCTTGACTACTTTGTTCGTTGTAATCCATCTGACCTCCAGTGAAACACAAACTGAACTTACACGTTCATGTTAATGTGCAATAAAGTGATTACAGCGATGGCTTAGTGGTATTATCTCTGTTAACACAGAGACCCAGATAATGTTCCGGGGACCTGGGTTTGAATCCCCCCACAGCAGATGGAATTTGAATTCAATTTTTAAAAAACAATCTGGAATTAAGAATCTGGTGATGACTATGAATCGATTGTTGATTGCTGGAAAAGCCCATCAGGTTCACTAACATCCTTTACAGAAGGAAACTGCTATCCTTATCTGGTCTGGCCTAAACGTGATTCCAGACCCACAGCAATGTGGTTGACTCTTAAATGCCCTCTGGGAACACAGGAATGGGCAAGAAATGCTGCCTAGCTAGCAACACACTCATCTCATGAATGAATAAAAACAAAATAAACTTACAGAGAGTAATTTAACATTCCTTACAAGTTTAATCACATCACTATTATTGATTCCAATGAAAATCATTTTCAATTAAAATGGACAATCAGGTTATATTAGATAAAAGAAATTATAATATTCTCAATTCAAATTTTGAGAGTGTTACAAAACTGCGTAATGCAAAGAAAGGGTTGCATTCTTGTGTTGCTGCACTTCAACTTCATATATAGTTTGCAAAAAATTATTTTTTCAGCATCCAGCTCCTGAAGCTGAACTCAGATGAAACATTGATTAAAAAAAAGTACAAAATTTTACTTGCATTGTTTCTGTCATTAATACTATAATTAATCAGCACCGATTCCCCGCAGTATTTTCCTGTGGGGAAAGCATAGTTGGACATGATTTCTGCTGGCGATAAGATCATAGGTTATAAAATATTGCAAAAATAATTATGTTCAAATCAAACAACCCAATTTCAACTAAGGCACAGTTACATTTATGAATCCAAGCATTGGCATCTATACTACATTGCTCCTTCATCAGTTGTGCAAAAATGGCTGTGTGCATCTGGCATTCAAAGGTGTGATGTTCCTGTTGTGACATTGTAAATATGGATTGCACTCACTGCAGAAAGTTAAGACTTATCTATTTAATTCTACGGATTCTTTTAAAAGGATATGACAAACGTTAGCAACTCTAAACAACTCTTCTCTCACTGAAAATTAACTTTTACAAGTGTGCAGTTGCATTCCTTCAGATCTTAATTGTGGAAAACATTTTAAAAAATGAAACATATTTTTCTTTATTTTTTCCTTGCCTTTTTCTCCCTCATTCTCTTCATCAAAAGGTTGTTTCTCTCTCTTTACTTCACTTTCTATGCCTAACTTGACTGTGTATTTACTATGCTAACTTACAGTTCCTGGTTTGGATTCTTGTTATTTATTCACAGCCTGATTGGTTAATGAAAAACAAAGTTGTTTTTCCTGATCTCACAGGTACTTTTTTTTTTCTATTCATTTCGTGGGATGTGGGCATCGCTGGCTGGCCAGCATTTCTTGACCATCCCTAGTTGCCCTTGAGAAGGTGGTGGTGAGCTGCCTTCTTGATTTGCTGCATTCCTCCTGCTGTGGGTTGATCCACAATGCTATTAGGGAGGGAATTCCAGGATTTTGACCGAGCGACAGTGAAGGAATGGCAATATATTTCCAAGTCAGGATGGTGAATGACTTGGAAAGGAACTTGGAGGTGGTGGTGTTCCCATATATCTGCTGCCTTGTCCTTCTAGATGGAAGTGGTCGTGGGTTTGGAAGGTGCCCCATAGTGGATGTGACATTTGAATCTTTAAATTTCAGTGACTTCCAGTGCTGAACATCACAGAAGTTAACAAGCAAAGGGCAAATCCAATGAAAAGCAGGTATATTTATTCACCAGCTACAGTAAATCCTGACCCAATATGTTTGAAGCAGAGTGAGAGAGAGAGAGATTGGCATGAACCAAATTCTAGCAGAACAGCTTATCATGAAATAAATATATATCAATGACACCATATCATAATCCTGATTTCTAAAATTAAATAAGCAGAAAGGAATCTCTTGGCAATCTTTTTCAAATAAAAAAAGTTACAGCAGGTAAACCCACAATGAAATAACAAGGAACATAAATCCTTCAACTTCAGGTCAATTCTAAGCAGATCCTGCTTTGACTGACCCCAAAAAAATCATTACCTGTTTCTCTCACTGATCAATCGCTTTTGGCAGTAAAAATGAACATAACACAATTTCCACCGACAATTAGGGAAAGCCAACCATCTGCTGGCTTCACAACTATGTGACTCAGCACTCCCACAGATCCTCCTCACAAGGTCAGAACACAAATTAAATTTGTTCTGAATGATTTAAAATACTCCCCAGATAAAAGTGAAGATCGAAACATCGTGAAAAAAAATTGAAACAATAAAAACAGCTTGCCTCTGATGTTGAGTATCAACTCCTTTGCTTGGGCAAGTCAATAGTTTAAAATAATTTAAATTGCATATTTGCTGGAGCAGTGCAGGAGGCACAATAAGACACGCTAAAGAGATTCTCTCACCCTAAGGGTATGAGAATTCAAGTTCCCTCTTGAAAAAGAATTCTGAGGATAAGGTTCCCTCTTTATAGGTTAGCCACAACAAAAATAACAGTCTGACATTCAGGTTAAACTGTTGCAGGTATTGCCAAAAACAGTAGCAAATCGCATCTGCTAACCAAAATAAAACATTGCATGGAATTGATGTCTCTCGGTGTAACATTGATTGTAGACTCAACATTGACAAAGAGGTCAATCATTTGAGTGTAGTAGCACAGTTCCGTTGAGCGGGGACTGCTTAAGGCCAACCTTCTAGAGACACTAAAGCAGCCCCAGAGGCGTGTTTGGGACACTGGTTAATGAAGATGAAACCTAGTTAAGTACTTCTTTAAAATTATTTTTGTAACTTAAAATGGTGCCGGATGGTGGCAAAAAAACACTTTTCACTGTATCTCCCTAGATATAATTGACAATAAATCATTCATTGACAAGTAATCCAGATGCCTGTATTAATAATTTCGAGACAAGAGTTCAAATCCCATCATGGTAGTTTGTAAATCTGAATCCACTAATATAAGTAAATCTGGAATAAAGAGCCATTATTAGCAATGGTGAACATGAAATCATTTGCTCCTCATGAAAAGCCATCTGTCCTTTAGGGAAGGAAACCTTCTGCCCATACCTGCTCTGGTTTTTATGCTGGGGGATCTGCAATCGCAATGTGGTTGTCTCGTAACTGTTCTCTAAAATGACCTAGCAGGTCACTCAGTTCTATCAATTTTCCATACGTAATTATACCATGAGAAAGAAAGCTAACTGACTGCCTAGCATCAATATAGGGAGTGGGCAGAAAAATGGCACCACCTACCCTAGTTATTCTTGTTAATGATAATTTGAATGGTTGCCCCATAGACTTGCCAAATAACAGTCTCACATAGATGCGTGGACTCCTAGCCAAAAATCAAACTGAAGTCAAAGCACAAAGTCACACAGCGAAGAGGTATTTGACCCAGGAATGTAAACATTGACTACTCACGGCACCAGTTCAAACATGGGTTATTTGCCACCTACAATCTTCTCTCTGCTGATGAATCAGTACTTTCGCCAAGTTGAACATCACTTGGAAGAGGGGCTCTAAAGGTAGGAAGGCACAGAATAAATACTGGCTGGGGATTACAACATTTGTCAACAAGAATGGTTACGTGAACACCACTGCTTACTGAGTCTTGAAGGACGTAGCTGCCAGAGTGAGCCTACGGCTGGTAATGAGTGTTTGGCAGAAAAATTAACTCTTGGAGGTTTTATGTGAGTTGCTTAAAAATAATCTAAAACCTGGAAAGCTTTGTGAACAACTCAGAGACACGAAAAGACTGATTGTTTCCCATATGTGACCAAACTGTGAACACGGATACTTTACTTGGTTGGTTGAAAAAAAACACGGGGCAGTTTTACATCAGGACTTTTGTGGCTTAAAAGATAGGATTCCTAGATGTGTTCCTTGTTGATGATTATTGTACCTGTGAAACTTGAAAGTTGAAACTATTGTTGGATTGGGTCCTCACTATCCTGTGTGAATAAAGAAAACTATATCGTTTAGCATGCAACATTTGTGAAAGGGGTGATCTGGCTGCTTACGGATGTGCAAGACAAATCTTTTTTGCATCGGTGATTTCAAATGAAATCTACCAGTGCATCTGAAGTATCATTTACCTGTTAATTCATGTGTAATTTACATTGATGTTGACTTGTGTTAAAGCAAAGGCTACAAACAGTGGAATTGTATTTGTATTTGTATTTCTTCCTTCAGGGTCAGTCAATACACTTAGTTATTTTGATTTACAGTTTTCTGCAGGGACTATATCATATACAACAACAGTACCATCACCAACCTTCACTACCTACAACCTTGACAGCAAGAAGGGATGGTGGTTACCAGTAACTTAACTGGACAAACCATATAAAAATGGTGCTTATAAGACCAGGACAGAGGCTGGACATTCTATGGCATGTAACGCACCATGTCACTCCTCAAAGTCTTTCCATCCACAAGACACAAGTCAGGAATGTGATGGAACACTCTCCAGTTGGTTGGATGAGTGCGGCTCCATAAAATTGAAGAAGCTTGAAAACATCCAAGCAAAGAAACTTGATTGGCACCTCATTCACCACCTTAGACATTAATTCTCTCCAGCACCACATGTAGCGGCAGCAATGTGTGCTATCTACAAGGTGCACTGTCGCAGATTGTTAGAAACTACTTCAACAGCATCCCAGAGTTCCAGTCATCTAGCACCCAGAAGTCTAAGGGCAGGAAGCTTGTAAGAAAATGTACAAGTTTTCTTCCAAGTTTCATATCATCTTGATTTGGCAATTATGTTATTATTCCTTCATCCTGGCTGGATCAAAATCCTGGAACTCTCTACTTGACAGCGCAATGAGAGCACCTACATATAGATTACTGAGGCTCAAAAAGACACGTCCCCAGTGATTTCTTAAGAGAAATTAGGAATGGGCAATAAATACTGGTTTTGCCAATGACATTTGCACTCCATAAACTAATATTTTAAAAAAAACAGGTTCGGGGTCTAAAATCACAGCAAAACGTTGCACCCTAGAAGATGTAAAAAGAATGAGAAAAGTAGTCTGAAATATTTAAAAGGATAACCATGCTATTCAAACCATTGTGTTACAGATGTAACTTTGTAACAAACCTGCAGATATAGATATGACCTGCAAGGTAAAGACAGGGATAGATTACATCGATGAGAATGCCTCTCTCTGCAATGCAGAGACAGTGCTGAAGTACGTGCTGTACACCTGGAATCTATCTGCAGGCCCAAGAGTACATCACAACTCTAATCACATCAGTCAGTTATTTTGTTCAGCAGACCAATTTTCTAATTGGGTCACAATGTACACTTTACTCAGGAGAGGAGAAGATTAACAACTGCTTTTTACCCATTCATCATGCCAGACGGAGTGCAATGGTTACGAAAACAAAGAACAGAGACTCAGTATGCTCTGAGATTTCCAGGGAATACCCTTGATGGATGTGAGCAGGTGACGGTGGTGGTGGGGGATGGAGGGGAGAAGAGTTATAGATAAATTTCTGCATTGGTGGTGGGAAACAGGAACTGGGATTATTTCTGGCCCTTGGGTCAACAATCACACATTGGAAATTGGACCGCGTCTCTCTCTGACTTGGCATGGAGACAGGTTCCTGTCCAATTATGGGGAACGGATGGGTACGTGAAGCTGGATGGCCTGGTAGTTCCAGGTGAACAACCAGCTGCAATGACTGGTAAGTAAACTGACAATGGTGCCTAACATGAAGGTGCGCTCTTAGTAATATTTTATAGTTCAATTAAAAAGCAGACAAAGCAGCCAGGCTCCCAATACGGGAATGGGAGGAAGTTAAGAAGACTGTGCGAGAGCCTCTCCAGAGGGCAGCACTTGACTGTCACAATGCAATCCATTGACATGCCTGCTGCTGGATGCCCATCTTAAGCATGTGAATGGCACCAAACTATCCGGAAACTGTGGGCTAACAGGAAAATTCTAGTCGGTTTCTATTACCTACCTTTATCAAGTTTCTTAACAAGCCTAATTTGCTGCTTGTCTCGTGGGTTGGGCTAGCCCTGCTGGTCCCAAACTGATCTCAGGCAAAATGACGAGTGCAGGTACGGGCATATCACAGTCCCACAGAAGAGGGAGTAAAGATCTGCTGCCCTTACCAACCTTCTACCTGTTCTAGAGCAAAGGTGCAACGATACTTTGAGAAGCTGACATGGCAGTCCTGTACCCTCACATCAGAAGGTTTGAAAGGTTCAGGAACAAACTGAACATATGTCTGAAAAGTATTGCTTCCACCTACCCAGTTTCCGGGTCCTGGATCCAGCAGACAGAGAAGAGAGAGAGAGAGCGAGAGAGCGCGAGAGAGAGAGCGTGTGTGTGGGGGGAGGGTGGGCATCCTCTGGAGGTTGGAGGTAACTGTGGAGTGCAGGCACAGCATGTTGGTGTACGCTCCCTGCCCAGTAACGGTGGCCTATGCTGCCTGTTGAAATCTGGTGAACAGTTACAATATGCAGCAGCAGAAGGGAAACAGAAGATGTTCCTTGGATATGGAGTAGTTCCAGGACTGAAGGCTGTTCAAAACCAACAGCATACAACCTTGGACTCGGTGCAGCTGGTTCTCCAGTTGCCAGCCCTAAAGCAGAAATTCAGAGTGAGGGAGTTAACATCACTGACAGGCTGCACTGCCAGACTGTGAACTCTATCCTCTTACTGGGGTTACAGCACAAACTACTGCCCCAAAATGCACATTTCCGATCGCTTTGATGCAGTTTTGGTGTGACTGTCACATCATGAAGGTATGACCTGGACAAACTTGCTCCAGATCTGCTGCAGACAGCGTACAGTAAACATTTCATGGTTTTCTGAAACCATTTTCGGGCGTTACCATCAGAGTATCATCAGCATTTTGAAGGGCATCCTTCATGCAGGGTTCTTTCTAACTGATCCCTGAAGAGTAACTGAGGACCTTTTGTACTTTTATTTACTTGAAATCAAACTGATCACATTAAAATATGTGCAATGTTGAGGCTGATGCTTTACCTGTCTTGACGCAGACGTTTCCAAATGTGCCTCCCTCCATCCGTAGAACACGTGTGGCCTCAGACTGGTATCTCTTTCTTCAGCCATCTGTCCTATCCTTTTCCTGATGCAGAATGCCATAAGAAACAGAGCAAAGAAAAATTAGAGATAAATAAGGGATGCAAAACTAAATAATAAGGTAAATACAAAAGAAGAAACTGAAGGAGTAATTTTAGAGTTCCAAATGGGGGTTGGGTGGGCAGTGTAAAATTCCCCAAGTGACCTTCTTGCCTGTCCCGTTTATAATTTTATAGGGAGCCTGGGAGTCTGCCCTTGCAGTTAAGACCTATAAGAGGCCAATTATTGGTCACTCAAGGGCCACTTCCCAAAATATTCTGGTTTGCAGGAGAAGTTTAGGAATGGGCAACTCCAATTGATCATCCTGCTCAGCCCTCAGGCTGGAGCCTCCTTTGGGATCAGGTATCCCCACCTCACGACCTCCCCACCCGCTTCCCCTCCCCCCACCTCCCACCTCAAACTGATGGCAGCCTCTCTGCTTGGGTTTACCCCTCCTTCCTTAATCACTCCCTCACCTCAGCCCCCACCCCCACAAAGTACCTACCTGGTCTGCTGTGTTGATTGCTGGGACTGCCGGTGTTCCCAGCATTGTTCACCTCTCCAGGTTCTGCTGCCGTGACAACAGAGCTGCTGGCCAATCAGATAGCTGGCTGTTATCGGAGGTGGGATGTCCTCCCGCGTGACGGGTCGAAAGCTCACCTCCAGCCAACCTTCTGGAGGGCAGCCAGGTGGGAACCCAGCCCCCACGCCCATTTGAAAAATTCTGCCCAAAATAGAGAAGAACAGGTGTGGAGGAGTTGAGTGTTGAACAGGTGAAGGGAAAGGAAATGGGTGAAATGGAAGTAGTGGGAAGAAAGAACAGCAGGAGTAGACAGAGGGAGAAAAGAAGAAGTGAAGAGATATGAACAACTCTGAGTAGATTTGCCAATAACAGCAAACTGAGGGAGATTATAATTTAGTTGGGGAACAACCGAAAGGTGTTGAAATAGCACTGATACAACTCACTACAGCTCCAGCAAGAAGTTCAACTCCAGCCAGTGAGCTTACTTCATTTATCTCAGCGGTGGTGCTGCTCAACAGTGAAGGGGGAAGAGATGCAGAAACTGCGGGGATGAGGTTGTGGTAAGATGGAAATTATCTTGGTCAAGAAAGCAGAGTGTCTTGGTGAGATGGAATGGGATAAAAATTCCTGTTGGGAAGGGCACTCGGAGATGGTGCTTGAGGACCAGGCTGACAAGGGTCTCAGTGTAAAAGTGACATTTCATTGGGGTGACAGGAGAGGTAGAAAAGCACAGATGCACCAGTGTGGAGGGAGGAGGAAGCCAGGCTGGGCATCCTGAATAGCAGAGAGAAAGGAATCTGCTCTGGAAAATTGGCAAAGACCAGAGTGGGGGGAGAAGGAGGAGATAATGTGGATAGAGAGAAATACCCTATAACAGGAGGAGGGTACTTCTTGGAATGAGGAAATCAATTTCTGGCAAAGTAAGCCCAGAACGTAAAACGCCTCATGCCGAAATCCATTTCCACTGTTGTTGAGAATGTAATAGAAATGGAACAGATAGTTGCAAAGTTCAATTCTGCCTAGCAATAGGAGAGGAGCTTTTGGTGTTGCTGCTAATATAATACTCAGGACAGTTTGAGGGTCACTGAAGAGATACAAAGACTGCAGGCTGTTGGGAAAGAGACAGAAGTAGACCACACTAGGGATGTTAGGAATGCTGCCATTAGCTGTATTGCTTCCTTACACAGATTGTGTTTAGAGTGCTGAGTGAACTCTGGGATCTATCTTGATTGTATCTGTATTTGATGCAAACTGTGGGGTGTTCGATCAGAGTCTGTTACACATATTTGTCACATGTCAATTCTGAGTGTTAGAATATAAGTTGCACACGTATGTAAACAATAATGAATGTACTAAAATTGTCTTGCAAACTTTATTTTAGTTTGTTTAAAACCAAAGAATCTTGTTGCTTTATTCTCTTTTATTTATTCTGCCCCCGATCTCACACTTCATCTACTTTAGAAAAAAATTTCCTGGCCCTTAGCAATATAAATTTGTCAGTCTGGTCCAGGATCCTCACACACACTAATGTCTAATTCATTATGGCCTGTGCCATAGGAGCCAGACTACTGATATGATTTATCTACGACTCTCCCTGACCTTTCAGTATCTCACATACTATAATCCTTCCTTGTTTGTTCAGATTAATATCTTCATTCTACCCAGGTTCAAATTGAATTGTTTTTTTTTGAAACAAGTTAAATTCCTATCCTTTTTAGCTAGTTGTTATTTTAAAAACAAACTATATTATTCTTTATGATTGTTCTGACTTCCAATCATCATTTTTGGAAATCTGCTTAGTAGAGGCACATTAATGATCAACACACACGACACACAATCTACAGATGTCTATACAATTGAACAAAGCATATCGCTGTGAGAAGACACGTTTGCAGTATTCGTCATCACCGCATCTAGAATAGACTTCCTTTTAAGAATTTTTGAAGTTTAAAACAAAAAAACAACATTCTTTACCATGCTTAACATTAAGGCTGTGTATTGACAGCAGCTGACAGTTACTATAGGAACATAAAGTTACTGGATTATCTCATTCCTACTCTATTAAAATTACTTGGCTGGGTTGCATTTGGATAGCAGGCTCAAAGATGGTAATGTAACAATTAGGCAACATTAAAAATTTCAAATTAAATTGGAAATAAACTCTAAATTAGAAAGCATTATGGCCATTTTGACATATTTTTCTCATAATTTTCATAGAAATTTGTCCTTCTCAATTACTTGAAAATTTAAAAACCTCTAACAATGATATTAAGTGACTTTTAAGTGAAAATCACTGAAAATTAGCAGTGAATGTTTCATTTTCAATTAAGCTATATTCTATTTGGATTGAAGTAAAAGACCAGGATATGGTGATAAACAAGGCTGCAGCCTGCCACATCGACTTAAATCTGAAGGTGAGTCACTGATGGCGTGGCATTCTTAGTTAACTATGTTAATCGACCTTTGCTACTGATCTTGACCTGGTTGGAAACTGGAATACAACAGTCGACAGTTGGTGGACACAAGGCATTTAATGGGAATGGTACTGGAGGTTCTCTGGTTGATGTATATCCCTGGACACCTTGAATCATCATTTTGAACACACCAACCTGCAGAATCTCTACTGTGCTGTATTTGTCTTGAAAACAACAGCATCTACATTCAAAAGGAATTTGCTGGCTTCGGGTGTCCTGAGGATGACAACAACGTCATAGAAATCAAGTTCTTTCTTTTCGCATGAACATTATAACCAGCATCATCGCACCATTATGTCACTGACCCCTCTCTGTGTATTTGCAAAATTCCTTTCATGAAAGTGTACCACAAAAGAAACATCTCTTCAAGCACATCTAGGAAAGCACTTCAAGGTGTCTCACAGCAGTATTATAACAAAATCTGACATTAAGCCTTATAAAGAATTATCAGAACAGATGACTAAAAGCTTGGTCAGATGGATAGGTTTAAAGGTGAATCTTAAAGAGAGGTAGAGAGATGGACAGGTTCAAGGAGAGAACTCCCAGAGCTGAAGACATAACTACCAGTGGTGTGGTGATAGACTCCGAGGATGCACAAGATGCAAGAATTGGAAGAATTTGACAGAGATTTTGAGGATTGTAAAACTGCAAGTGACTACAGCAACATGGAGGGATTTGAATACCAGGATGAGAATGTTGAAGTTGAGGTGTTGCCAATCAATGTAGGCAAGGATTCAAATAAATTTCTAGCTCGAAAAGCACCATGAGAGCCACTAGAAATATTCTGGTTTAATGCTTCACTCAAAAGAGCCGCACAGTGGTTAATGCAGTACTCCCTGAATACTGCATTGGAGTGTCTGCGCAGGCTTGTATGTTACAGGGAAATACTTGAGCATAGGGTCACTGTACGTCTGGTACTGTCATATTCAGTTGGGTCATTCGATAACTCTCAACAATTTAAAGGAATGACTTCCATACTTGTCTCCACCTCTCTGTCCTCATGATCAAGGATTTATCTGCTTTAAACCTAAAGGTTAGAAACAGAGATTTTGTAAAGAATTCACACCTTTAAACACATCTCTTCTGAGCTAGAGGAGAGAGATTGTCGAAAAAGTTCCCAATGATGGATTAACTGTTTCAATCCAGCTTTTTCCACTGAACAATTATTTACAGTTGGAAATACTGTACATGATTCTGATGATTTCTAAAACACTAAATAAGGACTTGTTTTGCTCCAAAAGGCATTTTAAATAAAATGCTGAAATGAAAAACTACTCCATCTGATCCCACAAGGTCACTCATATGAGAACAGAGTGTAGATTATGACAATTTACTGCCTCTAGCTCCAATACCGTGAATAACGCTGATCTCTCCAGAACTACAGCTGATTAAAATTATGTAGGCAGCTTGAGTCTGCACACTTTAAGCTTTTAGACAGTGACCTGGTTTTGTTTCTAACTTATGATTCAGGAGAAACTATGAAGAGGACAGAACAATGAGACACATACCTACATGTCTGAAAGTGAACAAAATGGAATAAAAGTACCAAATATGCTGATGCTTCTAATTGTAGCTGCTGAAAGGGAAACAGAATGTCACATAATGTAGAACATTGTAAGGGGAGGTAATTGCACATTCTGTCAGCTAACCCTGGTTATTGTAGCTTTTGCCTGAAACTGTTAGAGACAACCTACACACAGCACTGTGTTTAAAACTCCTCCTTAAATGATTTCCTGACACCCCAGTGGCTTCTTTAAGAGGGGTGTTGTTCATCACCCATTTGCAATGCCACATTTCTGATACAAAATGGCTGCTCCTAACCCGCAGGTTGAAACACCCGATTATGACAGCTCAATTGCATCGTCATCATTTCCAAGTCAACAAAAACATTGTAGGTTTTACCTCAATTTCAGAGGTCAACACTTGTTTTCTCCAATTGCGTTTTCTACACCAATCGAGGCAACTTTCTTTCGTAGTGAAAGGGGCCAGAGCTTAAAAACATCACTGACCATCACAACTTTTGCAGTGAGAAGTAACATAGGACGTCAAGAACCAGCTGGAAAAGCAGGACAAGATTGATTATTGAGATTCCCATCATGAAATGATGGTGAGTGCCTCTCTTCTAAAATGGGTCCCAATGTTGACAGAAACCCTCTGTCAATATTCCTGTGGTGCAGACTGTTACTGCAGACAGTACCATAACCAGGAGCAAGCCTGAGCTGTCACAAGACATCATTCGTCCAACCATAAGACGTAAAGCACTCAGCTAGGAAGACAAGGATCTATGATGGGACATCCGACACTGCAACTGAAGATGACAACCTAAACACCCATTCAGTGTCAACACCCATCAGCCTTACTTGGCTCATCTTCACCCGAATGTATACACATTATGTTTAAATCATATCACCCTTTTAACACTTGTCCCATTCCAATCTTCTCCTCTCCTTATGCACATAAAGAATCTTGACTCAATAAAATACAAATGCAGTTTCAATGGGGAATGCTACATTTAACACATTACATGCTTTCATTATCCTGCTGCTGGGGGGAAAGCCTCTTCTTTCTCAAAAGGGTTTTGTTTTTAAAGGTTCACACCCATCTCAGTGAAGGTAGCTCTT